CCTACTGGCAACGAGGCCGACACACGGAGAAATGGCGCTTATTCCAATTGGTCCAACGGCTTTTGCCCCGACATGTGTTTCCATCGGGTACCTTAGAAATTGTCCACAGCCTGACACACACAGTAGCATCCCTATGCAGGTTCTCGGCTCAGCCTGCTGCCATTCAGAAAAAAAAAAGCAGGTACACAAGGATGCGTCCATCCTCGCTTCACGAGTACTAACTGGGCGTCTTCGTTGGCTCTGGTCCCAGTTAGGCTCCCAGAGCCCCCTGCAACTGTACAAAAGATGCTTGTCAATATTCCAGAAACCCTTAGCAATGGTCAGGTTTTTCACACGCACACACACACACACAAACACACACACACACACCGGCCTCCCTTTGCCTCCCTCGCCGCCCCTGCAAACACTTGCCCAAGCGCTTTTCAGACGCTTTCTGTTCTTGTTGAGTGTTCTTAGTGACGTCTTAGTGGATGAGGCATGGTCAGCTGACCTGTCTTTCACATACGAGTGGTGCTAGCAGCGGCTTGCATGTCGCACACGCGACACGCTGCTGCGATATGTTTGCACTGTTTACGCCGCACCGCACTGCATCTCATCATCTTCGATATGGCCATTGAGGCATCGCTCAGCATGTCTCCTGCGCTCCAGGAGGTTGCGCAGCTCGTTGTTCTGGCGTGCGTCGTGGCGCGAAAGCTCGCGCTCCTGGCAGAAAAGACCAGAAGAGCTTTGTCATGTTCTGCGGAACATCCTAGCAGTCCTTGCTGACTTGGCCAATCAACTCTTTGCGTTGGTGCAGAAGCAACTCCGTGTTGGCTTCCTCGAACTCAGCATAAACGACAGCATACCGACGGCCTATGGATAATGTACCACCGAGGAGCCATGTCCGCGTGAAAGGCCTCTGCTGCAGAAAGGGCTTGATGCATTGACTCAGAGGGGCACCTAGGGACACCCATATCAACATGCTGCTCACTGGCCTGGAAGCTGGCGTTCATCTGCTGGAGGGACTGCAGCGTCTGCATCTCATCGTCGAGAGAACGCTGCAGGAACCCAAGCTCCTGCGGAAGCTGACGCATTTCTTGGGCCATTTGGGGTATCTGAAATATCGCCGCGCTGACGGTCCTCGACAAGGTGGTTACGGTCTTTGCGCAAGGAAAGACTCTCCTTGCTGCGCGTTTCCAGAAGCTTCCACTGCAGAGAAAGTCGTTAGACCAAGGATCGAGGTTCAATGCTCGGCCATCATCTCTCAATTCCACCAGCCTTCTTTGAGCTTCAGCCTCACGACACACACAATCTCGAGTCAACGGTCACGAGCCTGAAGCGATTCGCCCCAGGACAGATTGGGCGTCCGGCCACTTTGTGCTCGAGCTGCTGGGCTTCTTCCACCATGTAATCCTCGCACTGGCCGCGAACCGTACTTGCATGTCGTGCTTATCCGGCTTGGTCATGCTTAGGACCAACATGCCACGAGTCTCGAAACCCATGCAGCAGGGAGTCCTTAGCCTTCGAGTCTTGCATACATTGCTGTTCCACCTGCAGCATGCATCAGACTTGCAAGCCCACGAGACAACTCGTGAAAAAGGCATGCCTTCAGTGTTGCGTCTTCAATGCGTGCGAGCTCCTAGGAGGTCAAGAGGCTGCATCCGGGCCACTCTTGGAAATGCAAGGCCGCTCCTGCTCTAACCCGGCCATCTCCTCGTCGATCTGCTGACAAATCTCTCTGTCGGCCGACAACACCTGGAGGACGGAGGATGCCAGAGGACCGGAGGACCCAGCGCTCTCCGCTCCGGCCGCGGGGCCCGGCCTTCTCGAAGCGCCGCGAGAGGTCTCGGTCCGAGCGGTCCGGGCGGTCTGGCGGAGCCTGAGCCGCGCCTCGCTCTAAGGGAAAGTCCGCCTCACCGAAACCTCGGCCGAAGAGTCAAGGGCTTAGGCACTTCCCGCTGCTCAGCTTCCGCTGTCCTGAGCCTCCACTCACATCTCCGCACACAGAAGGCTGGGTTGCGACGGGAAGAGTCCGATGCCACTGCGGCCATCAAACGCACCTCCCTCACTCTCGATAAAATCAAGTGCCTGAGAAGACAGGGAGGAGAAAAGGATGAAAGGAGGAAGAGGTGGCGAGACATCACGGTTGCACTGACAGCGTGAGACCGCGTGAGAGCATGGCTTTCGCAAGTACCAGTTGTTGCAGCGGATCCATCAATCCAGGTTTGGTCTCACAGTCTGGCTCATGATGCGGGATCTAACCCAACTACCGGTCGAAGGGCATAGCATGGCTAAAAGCCTGCTGGACGATCACTTTAAACGGTGGTTCCGCTGCGTGGCGCCGAAACTCGCTTGTCGAAGGATCCGTCCAGGCGGTTTCAGGTTCCCTGACGAATTGTGAGCAGGTTGGCTGTGTCCCTTTGACTCTACATATTCTGTCTGTTGCTGTTTGACGATGGGACTAGGCCTTCTGGCACCTGCAATTTTGCTACATTGGACGACCCTACTTGCAGCAGGGCCCAGATTTGCCATACATGGACACGAATAACTCGAAAACGAACAAACAAGCTTGAACCAAAACACCAAAACTTAAAACAGAGACTGAAAGAAACAAACTTACGGAAAGCCTCCGAACTTCTCTCTTTGCACACAGGCTGCTCTTTGCCACTCTTGGGAGAAGCCCTCATGCCTTGGCATCTCCAACTCCTTTGCGGTTGTGTATCACTTCGTTTTTTTCGTGCTTCCTGCCGGTGTTGGTGCAGCTCCTCGACCCTGTTTAAGCCTCAAGGGCCCTGTTCAAAATGGGTCCAATGCTTGACCGCCCAGCTGCCCACAAGCTGAGCGAATCCAAGGTGGGAAAGGCGGGATGTGCTTTTCTCGAGGCAAGGCTACGCGGCTACCCCTGCATCCAATTGCCATCCAGCCACCGGGTCCTTGCTCCGCACCTAGCATTGCGGCTGTCGCAACTGCACCAACGGGAATGTGAGCTCCCAGTGCAGGAGAGCAACCAAAGTCGAAGGACGCAGCAAAGTCCATGCCGACCGAAAGCTGCAAACTCACTGGGCAGTGGACTTGGGTAGACGTGCGAGGAAAAGCTTATACAGTTTCTCAGAGCCAACCCCGGAGATAGGAAAGGCAGCAGTCGTCTTGCGAGTATCTGCACATTGACATTAATCTACTGCGGAGGGTGCCCGGACTAGATGGTTTGCATTGCTTGCACTTCACGAACGGATCTCGTGCTGGGAGAGACTGCGAACCCAAGATCGAGGACTGGGACACAAATGTCTTCAATCTCACCCTGCGGTGGGTTCAGGAAATGCTGTGGCTGCCACGAGGTGCAGCTCATGAACCCTCGGCGAAGCACGGCAGCACGCTTACTGAACGAGCTTCGGTGTTTCCCAGCGAAGCAGCAGGCATGCGTCGATTGAAACACAACCTGCGTCCGTCAGAAACCAACAACACGACCTCACATCCATTGCCATGCAATATCCGATATTGCCGTCTGATTTGCTGGAAGATAGCTCGTGGCATTGAGGTACTTGCGTTATTATCTGTCCTTCCGCGGTCTGGAAAACACTGGCAAGCACACAATGCATTTGCAAAGGCGCTGGCAAGCTGAGAGTTGAAATGTTACGATACCCGGATCCGGAAGTCTTGAGCCCTGCGAAAACTGGGCCAAGACTTACTGCATTTTCATTAGCCACGGCCCATATTGCAAAGGTCATGCTTGTCGACGACGTCCTGGGCTCTTCTCGAGATGAGAGGTGGAGTCTAGCACTCAGGAGAAATTCGTGTTGGAAGGATCTCACAGAAGTGCAAGGCTCTGGTTTCACGGCTTCTGCCGGTACTTGAAGTTCAGTTGACTGAGGGAGGCTTCCCTGGCAAATGCAGAACCCTAGGAGCCGAAGCCCCTGCAAAAGTGTGCCTGCCAGTGCACAGTTGGAATTTCCGGGCTGAGTTCGCAGAGCAAGCGTTCTCTGCCAGTTGAGGTTCGTGGCTAGGGGCGCTTTGTGCTGTTAGTCCGGCCTTCTAAGCTGATCCGTGTCGCCTGGCCCATTGCAGGGTGCAAACTTACAGTAGAAGCGGAGGCTGATCGTCCGGCCCCCCCCCTTTGGCTCTACCAAAGCCGGTTTCAAGCCCTACTGGCAGGAGAGGAGAGGAGCGCAGATATGTGTTGACCGGCAAGGGCCATTCCGAGCTTGTGTCTTGGCCTTGGCCATCGATTCTTCCTGCTCGGCACTGCATGTCGTTTCTGCCTATTTACCTGCATTAACCCCATGAAGTCCAACATCTCCGATTCTGGACCCGAGCATCATTCTGAGCAAGGCTTGTCGTCGGGTAGTTGCCACCCAATATGTCGAAGGTTCCAGTGCCTTTACACTTCGTGCAATGTCCCAACTCCGTTCCTTCGACTCGCATGATGCACGTCCGCCTATGTCGAAATAGAACCGCATGTGGGCCATGTCCTTATGCTTTTGCCTGCACCAGACGGCAGAGCCGGGCAGCTATCACGCAACCTCGAGCGTGAGGCCCCCACAACCAAGTCCGGGCTTTCGCATCCTGTAGCTGCACAACCCACTCCTGACGGAGCTGCTTCAACGACACTTTCAGATGAACCACGGTACATGCCACTCATGCACCAGCAGTCGCCTTGTAATTGTCGTTGTCAAGAAACCGACATGCACGTCGATAAGCGCATTTAATGGTCCTGCATCTTGTCGCTTACAGATGCAGCAAGATGCAGCAAGCGTGAGGCCCGTGCATCTCATCATCTGCACTTCGATGGTTCCTCTTCAGAAATTGCGCGGCTTGGGGCAGGAGCTTGTCCACGGGAGACCCAGAGAACGCAAGACACTTCATGCCACCTTTGGTCGCCAAAGCGAGGTGTTTCCTCGACTGTTTCGCACATGTTCCTTGGCCATCAGTGTAGTACAATTGCAAGCCAGGAGCCATCAACGTAAGACAGCTTCTGAGGAACGACGGCGGCTAATCGCACACTGAAGCGTGCTGAGGTCAGCTCTTTATGTCAGCAGGTAAGGGTAGTTGCTTCCTCCCATTGTCCATACCTCACATGTCCAGCAGCATGTGATCACAGAGTCAATAACTCACATCTTCACCCCTCTTCGTGTCAACATTTGCCAGGAGAGTCGCCTCGGTAGTTCTCCGGGATGACGCCCGTGACCTTGGACGATGTCCGGCCGATCGGCTGGGGATAAAGATCACCAAAAAGCTTTCTGCCTGCAGATTCATTTCCGTCTTCAAATAGCGGACGCAGCGCCTTCGAGTACATGCTGGGTGCCCGATGGCCATTGAATCAAGTGGTAGAAGCAAAGTGTATACGCTTTGGGTTGAAGGCCTGACTCCTTCCCATTGAAACATCTGCTGCTCTAACTTCATGACCTGCCGCGCTTTCTTTTGCAAAACGGTCGTGCTGAATTACTGCACTACCTTGCTTCCGTAGTAATGGCCAATGTTCAGGAAGTTCACGACAACTTTGTTCCTTAGCCAAAATCTCCTAGAAGTGGTGGCACGGCTCAGCAACAAATCTATCTAAGTCCGAAGCATGTTCCATGCCCGACCAAAGCAATCCAAAAGCTGCCTCGGCCAAGGTGAGGCGACTGGCCAACGAGATGCATACCGGTAGCCAATGTGCAGCGCTTGTGGTTGCAAAAAGCTCAGACGAAAGCTCACTCCCAGCATGCTTTGACTCCGGCCCCCAATCATGCCTAGCATGATTCCAGCACTCGCAGCCACCAGCAAGCCCGGCGCAAACATTAACGGCCTTGTACCATTTTTGCCCTTCTTTGCTTGGCTGGCTTCTTGATGTGCAACCTCAAGGCTGTTGAACGAGAGATGAGAACTTCATATAAGTTCGATAGTTTGTCAAAAACGCCTGCACTCCCTGGCGCTGATGTCGGGCCTTCCAGAGAACCGAAAGAAGCTGACGGATACACTCAAGCAGCTCGGGCCTGTTGAGAGTTCGCCCAAGGCCGCGTCGCGTGTGTACCAGAGCGTTGGAAGTGTGTCTTCTCCACTTCTGGGTGGCTCGTCTTTGCGGCCTTTGCGGTCCGGGCACAAGCGGCCTGTTTTGGATTCCTGCAAGCGGAGCGACGGCTCTGCTCTTGACACTTGACACTCCCATTTGCAGCACGCTTGCGTGACTCGCTGACAGACTTCTCTCTCGTCCTGAAAGAAGGTGGGTCAGGAATAACCTCACACACGAACATCGTAGGCTCGTTCTATACCTGTCCCGCTTTCCCTTAGAATGGCCTCGTGTCCTTTCCGCTTCTTCGACGTTGCGGCTTTGTTGCGATTCGATGCTACCTGCAGTGGACCGTAAAATTGTTTGATGCATGCTGTCACACTCACGCCTGGTAGTCATATTCATGTCTGTTGATCCAAAGTGTTCATATGGGTTGCGTCTGGTAGTTGCGCTGACCCTTTCAGCTTTCAGATACTGCAGCCCAACAATCCCGCACTTGAAAGAAACCAAAGCGAGATAGATGAATAGACAAACAGTCAGATAAATGTATGTACCGCCGGCCCTCCGATGATCTATCTGGGTTGGTCATGCGGTGTGTTATCTTCTTGGGCTCTTCTTCTAGATTCTAGGTCTCACTATCTGGACTATTGGGTAGTGTGTTGTCTCTACATGAAATAAATCAAACGTGGAGAAATGTTATGATTGTTTAATTCAGTCTAAACAACACAGCAAACTTACTCATATGGCCAGAGGATCTGCAGTTACTTCCTGTTTTATTCTCTTCACAACACCAAGATACATGTTGATAGATTAAAGGATTTGCTCCAAACCTAGGACCGCAGAAAAGTGCGTCAAAACGAAGATCACATAAAACAAAAACAAAAAACACATGTGCAAACAAAGTGTGCCAAATAATACTTGAAATCAGGAACTTTGCAGTGCTGTCGTTTACCAGCTAGTTGCAATGAAGCACTAGAAATTTGAAGCTACAAAGGTTTGATATTTTGCTATTCGAAACGGTGTTGAAGTTACATCAGATTCATTCTGCTCCCTAATTGTCGCCTAAGCTAGGTCCTCTGGCACCAGAGACTACTTGAGGTGCTTCATTCACTTCGTTCTTATGGTTTGCGACCACGCATTAATGAAGGCGCGCACGAAGAAAACACAAAACCCTAAACCCCAAACCCAAACCCTAAACCGGTCAGGGTTTAATGCTGTGCCTCCTCTTTTCGCTCAACGGCATTCGAACTAATTCGGACCCGCTTTCCTCATATAACAAACGAAGCAAGTCATGATGAAAAGAGCTGCAAGCAAGAAAACGCAACCAGTTTTAAAAATCAAAACATTTTAATCTGTTATCCACAAGACGGCTGTGTCGTCCGTTTGCCCCTTCTTCAGCAAGTAATCAGCTCGTTATGCTCATTCATAGGGTTCCTTTCACTCAGTTCAGAAAAACAACAATAAATGAAGCGAAGGCAATGAGCGTAATGCGCGTGCCCCTTATTCAAAAGTGAAAGTGGGAATGCATGACAACGGAGTTGCCTCTTGGTGAAAAAAGCCTGCTCAAGATCAAGAACACACATTTCACACATGTCATTACAGTCGTTTGTTTGGCTTCACTAACTTTTTTCTCCTTGTACTGAATTAAGCACAGAGTAATGAATCAAGCGAATGTGACGAAACAAGAAAGTCAGATCAAATATCTCCAATGAAAGCGAGAGCAGGCAATAGGATAGGAACGAAATACAGAGCCGACGTGGCGGTGCAGTCGGAATCCTCTCGTACGAACTCACGGGATTCAAGAACCTGTGGTCCATGAGTTAAACAGTACAACTCTAAGCGGTCACGCTTTTCCTCGTTGAACCAAAAGGCGCTGCACGGTCACATGCATTCTACATGCCGTAGCCTTGGGCTCTCCAAAGGGTGTGTGGGATACTACATGCTACTA